CCAAAAAGGTTGGGGACTGCTGGGCTGTAGGGCTTAGCTTTTAGTTCCCTGAATGCTAGACAAAAAGGAAAACATGATGATAGGCTTACATTGTATTTCCCAGTAATAGGAAGCACATACAAAGACCTTTTGTAAGGCAGTTAGATCAAATATGCCTAGCACACAGTAAATACCTGTATGATGATATTATAGTTTTATATGGATTAAACAAATGAAACATTAAATTAAGAAATTCATCTTCAAAATTTTCATATCATGATCACTGACTGAAATAAGATAACATGGCGTTAATAACAGGCTTATAAAAGATACATCGGCACTGTTATCTGACCCTTAAATATAAGTTTAGGACATGGTATTTTATCATAATACCACGAATGCATATTTGAAATACTGAGGATTAAAGATGCAATTTTTGATGATTTGATAAGACACAGTAGTTATGTTGTTGTTTAAGTGGCTAAGTTGTGTCTGACTCTTTTGTGACCCCATGGACTATAGCCTGCCAGACTCCTCTGGGATTTTCCATGGGAAATTCCGGTCCATGAGATTTCTCAGGCAAGAATACTGGAGTAGATTGCCATTTCCTTCTCCAGGGGGTCTTCCTGACTCATGAGTCCAAACCATGTCTCCTGCATTGGTAGACAGATTCTTTACTATCTGAGCCACCAAGGAAACCCTCCACAGCAGTTAGAGGAGGTAATAAAATAGCTTTTAGTGTATATACTTTTGGAATACCTATCATTTTGATGGATCATTCAGTTCAGTTCAGTCACTCAGTCATGTCCAACTCTTTGCAACACCATGGACTGAAGCAGGCCAGGCTTCCCTATCCATCACCAACTCCTGGAGGTTACTCAAACTCATGTCCATCGAGTCGATGATGCCATCCAACCAGTTCACCCTCCATTTTCCCCTTCTCCTGCCCTCAATCTTTCCCAGCATCAGGGTCTTTTCAGATGAGTCAGTTCTTCACATCAGGTGGCCAAAGTACTGGAGCATCAGCTTAAGCATCAGTCCTTCCAATGAATATTTGGGACTGATTTCATTTAGGATGCACTGGTTGTATCTCCTTGCTGTCCAAGGGATTCTCAAGAGTTCTCTCCAAGAACAGAGTTCAAAAGCATCAATTCTTCTGCACTCAGCTTTCTTTATAGTCCAACACTAACCATACATGACTACTGGAAAAACCATAGCTTTGACTAGGTGGACCTTTGTTGGCAAAGTGATATCTCTGCTTTTTAATATGCTGTCTAGGTTGGTCATAACTTTTCTTCCAAGGAGCAATGTCTTTAAATTTCACGGCTGTAGTCACCATCTGTAGTGATTTTGGATCCAAAAAAATAATCTGTCACTGTTTCCACTGTTTCCCTATATATTTGCTGTGAAGTGATGGGACCAGATGCCATAATCTTAGTTTTCTGAATGTTGAATTTTAAGCGAAGTGTTTCACTCTACTCTTTCACTTTCATCAGGAGACTCTTTAGTTCCTCTTTGCATTCTGCCATCCTTATGGGATGGTGTCATCTGCAAATCTGAGATTATTGATACTTCTCCCGGCAATCTTGATTCCATCTTGTGCTTCATCCAGTCCAGCATTTCTCATGATGTACTCTGCATATAAGTTAAATAAGCAGGATGACAATATACAGCCTTGCCGTACTCCTTTCCCAATTTGAAAATAGTCTGTTGTTTCATGTCCAGTTCTAACTGTTGCTTCTTGTCCTGCATACAGATTTCTCAGGAGTCAGGTCAGATGGGCTCATAGTCCCATCTCTTGAAGAATTTTCCAGTTTGTTCCGATCCACATAGTCAAGGCTTTGGCATAGTCAATAAAGAAGAAATAGATGTTTTTCTGGAACTCTCTTGCTTTTTCGATGATCCAGTGGATATTGGCAATTTGATCTCTGGTTCTTCTGCCTTTTCTAAATCCAGCTTAAATATCTGGAGTTCACGGTTCATGTACTGTTGAAGCCTGGCTTGGAGAATTTTAAGCATTACTTTACTAGCGTGAGAGATGAGTGCAATTGTGCGGTAGTTTGAGCATTCTTTGGGATTGCTTTTCTTTGGGATTGGAATGAAAACTGACCTTTTCCAGTTCTGTGGCCACTGCTGAGTTTTCCAAATTTGCTGGCATATTGAATACAACACTTTCACAGCATAATCTTTTAGGATTTGAAATAGCTCAATTGGAATTCCATCACCTCCACTAGCTTTGTTCATAGTGATACTTCCTAAAGCCCACTTGACTTCGCATTCCAGAATGTCTGGGCCCTAGGTGAGTGATCACACCATTGTGATTATCTGGGTCATGAAGACCTTTTTTGTGTAGCTCTTCTATGTATTCTTGCCACCTCTTCTTAATATCTTCTGCTTCTGTTAGGTCCATACCATTTCTGTCCTTTATTGAGCCCATCTTTGCATGAAATATTCCCTTTGTGACTCTAATTTTCTTGAAGAGATCTCTAGTCTTTCCCATTCTATTGTTTCCCTCTATTTCTTTGCACTGATCACTGAGGAAGGCTTTCTTATCTCTCCTTGCTATTCTTTGGAACTCTGCATTCAAATGGGTATATCTTTCCTTTTCTCCTTTGTTTTTTGTTTCTCTTCTTTTCACAGCTATTTTGTAAGGCCTCCTCAGACAGCCACTTTGCTTTTTTGCTTTTCTTTTTCTTGGGAATGGTCTTGCTCCTTGTCTCCCTTCCAGTCCATTTTAGTTCACTGATTCCTAAAATGTTGATGTTCACTCTTGCCATCTCCTGTTTGATCACTTCCAATTTGCCTTGATTCATGGACCTAACATTCCAGGTTCCTAGGCAATATTTGCTCTTTACAGCATCAGACCTTGCTTCCATCACCAGTCACATCCACACCTGGGTGTTGTTTTTGCTTTGCCTCCATCTGTTCATTCTTTCTGGAGTTATTTCTCCACTAGTTTCCAGTAGCATATTGGGCACCTACTGACCTGGGGAGTTCATCTTTCAGTGTCCTATCTTTTTGCCTTTTCATACTATTTGTGGAGTTCTCAAGGCAGGAATATTGAAGTGGTTTGCCATTCCCTTCTCTGATGGAACACATTTTGTCAGAACTCTCCACCATGACCCATCTGTCTTGGGTGGCCCTACATGGCATGGTTCATAGTTTCACTGAGTTACACAAGGCTGTGGTCTATGTGATTAGTTTTGTTAGTTTTCTGAGATTGTGGTTTTCAGTCTGTCTGTCCTCTGATGGAGAAGGATAAGAGGCTTATGGAAGCTTCCTGATGGGACAGACTGACTGAGGGGGAAACCGGGTCTTGTTCTGATGGGCATAGCCATGCTCAGTAAATCTTTAATCCAATTTTCTGTTGATGGATGGAGCTATTTCTCACTTCTAATAATAATATTAGATCTTATTATTTAATAAAAGATAAGCTATTATCTCTTCCTATTTAAATATTTGCATTTTGATTTGAAGTTGATGATCTGTTTCATTTTGATCACATCAAAAGGCTATGGACAGATACTGTTTTGTGAATTTTGAATACTTGAAAATAAGGATGCTTAAGCCCAAAGTGGTTTACACCTTGGACATTTTTGTGCATAATCTCAGTTCAGCATCTAAAATTAAAATCAAAAGACCTGAGCATGATGCCACAATGCTGAGTTTGACTTTATATACTAACAACCCAGTGTGTGTCAGAATGCCATTTCACTGGCAAATAAATGTATTGAGGTGTTAAATATGTTTCTAGGGTCATATATTCTTAGAATCTCTGTGTCTTGATATAACTCAAGTTTTACAAAGTTGTAAAATTAAAACTTTGGAGATAGGCAAAAAACTGAGGTAAGCAGCTACTTAGTGGATTCCCAAATGTTTTTCTACTATTGTTGAATTTAGCATAACATGTACAAATATTGTACATACTTTTGTACATACTTTCTACTCTTTTGCATAATCCAAATCTTATTTGAATATCTCTCTAATCATTTACTTGTATGAGTTATTGAGGATAATTTTTCTTTTCTTTCTCAAATATATATATAATCCAGTGTTATATGTATAGTTTTATTTTTATTTATTTTACTTTTGGAGAAGGAAATGGCAACCACTCCAGTACTCTTGCCTGGAAAATCCCATGGATGGAGGGGCCTGGTGGGCTACAGCCCATGGGGTCATGAAGAGTTGGACACGACTGAGCGACTTCACTTTCACGCATTGGAGAAGGAAATGGCAGCCCACTCCAGTGTTCTTGCCTGGAGAATCCCAGGGATGAGGGAGCCTGGTGGGCTGCCATCTATGGGGTTGCACAGAGTTGGATACGACTGAAGTGACTCAGCAGCAGTAGCATTTTACTTTTATTGAAATATAGTTGATTTGTACTGTTAATTTCAGCTGTACAGCAAAGTGATTAAGGTATACATATGCATATTCTTTTTCATATTCTTTTCTGTTATGGTTTATCGCTAGATATTGAATATAGTTCCCCATGTTCTGTAAGTAGGTTCTTATTGTTTACTCATCCTATATATAATAGTTTGCGTCTGCTAATCCCAAACTCCCACTCCATGCCTCCACCACCCCCCTCGTAGTTTTATATACATATAAATTATTTTTGTAATTTGCTGTTGAGTAAAAGACAAGTGAAATATTTTCTCTTGGCTCCTTATTTATTTTAAACTAAAATTTATCCTACTTTGGGGGGAAGAATAATGGTAATATTTAGCAGCTCATATGCTTTTATGACAATACCAACTAACCATCTGGTATAATTAGTGTTTGTGTTAAGGTAAAGCAATTATGGTCAAGTACTGTGATGACATTTGAACTTGCAAATGCTAAAAGGATGTATGTAGAGTCTTTAGAAAGACACAAAAGATACACGAGCTATTGTGATCCTAGTTGATGTTAGAAGAGCAAGCATGTTCGTGCTGCTAATCTTTGAACCCTTTTTATTCTGGTGCTGAATGTGTTCTTAAAGATAGCAGTAAACACACACATGCACGCATAATTTTTTCCAGGATTATAGAGTCAACATCTTCCTGAGGCAAAAATGGAACGATCCCAGGTTGAAGCTCCCTAGTGATTTCCGGGGCTCGGATGCCCTGACCGTGGACCCTACAATGTACAAGTGTCTGTGGAAACCTGATTTATTTTTTGCAAATGAAAAAAGTGCCAATTTTCATGATGTCACCCAGGAAAACATCCTTCTCTTCATTTTTCGAGATGGAGATGTCCTTGTCAGTATGAGGTATTCTTTTTGTGGCTTATATTTGTGGATTTATATTTTTCTTTAAAAATCAGTGTGTCGCTGAGGCCTGTGTTAAACGAGTTCTCAGATCTCTTCTTCTGCTTTCAGGTTATCTATTACTCTTTCCTGCCCTTTGGATTTGACCTTGTTTCCCATGGATACACAGCGTTGCAAGATGCAACTTGAGAGCTGTATGTAAATGAGACCCTGAGTGCCTGTAGGAATAAAGTGCTTAACATTCCGAGACCATGCGTGCTACTAATATCGTAGACAGCGATCCTGAAACTAATGCTTTTGATTGCAAATAGGCATTAGAATTGGAGAAGGGAAAGTCTACCCACGCCAGTGTGCTGGCCTGGAGAATTCCATGCGCTACTAATATCGTAGATAGCAATGCTGAAACTAATGCTTTTGATTGCAAATAGGCATTAGAATTGGAGAAGGGAAAGTCTACCCACTCCAGTGTTCTGGCCTGGGGAATTCCATGGACTGTATAGTCCATGGCGTCGCAAAGAGTTGGACACAATTGAGAGGCTTTCACTTTACTTCATTTCAGGCATTAGAATGGTAGCTCAGAAGGTAAAGAATCCACCTGCAATGTGGGAGACCTGGGTTTGATCTCTGGGTTTGGAAGATATCCTGGAGAAGGGAATGGCTACTCACTCCTGTTTTCTTTGCCTGGAGAATTCCATGGACAGAGGAGCCAGCCAGGCTACAGTCCATGGAGTCCCAAAGAGTCATACATGACTGAGTGACTTTCAGTTCACTTCAGGCATTAGGATAATTTATGGAGGGAAATTATAAATTTTATATTTTTTATATTTTATTAGAATTATGTTTTACTAGATAATTTGTGCTAAGATAGATAATCTTTTTGATATTTTGTTTTGGCATTTTATTCATTTTTTTAAATTTCAGTTGTTTAGGTGTAGTTTGTACAATTCTAACTTATTCCAATTGCCATCTCCATCTGAATTAATAATATAGGCAAGATAAAGGAGAAAATGATGTCTGTCCTAATAACTTTTCTAATGTTAAAACTACATTTTTCACAGAAGAAAATTTGGAAAACCCTGAAAAAAAATATTAACTAAATTTTACCAGGCATTCACTTTCTATGGATCTATAAAAAGATTGTTTACAAAATTGGATTTGGGATTTTCTTTGCTTCTGTGATCATGTATTTTTCAGTTTCTGGAAGATATATTAGATGTCTTCACCAAAAGGATTAGCTCTAAAATATGGTAAATTGCTATGAAATTTGTCACGTGAAAATAAAAGCAAGTAATAAAACTTGACAAATTAACACTAATGTAAGGAGACTTCAGCCTGAATACCCATATACTGTGTCCTATTTCTACAGAGAATAACCTTATAAAATGTATTGTATGTACTTGATGATACGCTTTAGAGTTATTTAGTGGTTATTAGTTGTTGTTGCTATTTATTTTTAATTTACTGAAGCTGGATCCTAAAGTTGAGCAATATTTATTGCTTTCTGACTATAATTTGAGATTTTGCAGATGTAAGTGTATGTATGTACTAAGTGTATGTATGTACTTGGTGAATGTGTTGCATATGTGTGTCTGTGTATCAACATATATTTGTATAAATTTCAAATGTGTATATATATTCACTTCTGTTACTGTATACACTAAAGTATGGCTTTTAAAAATACAGGCATGTAAGAGTTGAATGGTAGGTTATTACATATCATAAACCCATGGGCCTTTGAATTGTAGCCAGGTTACCTAAACCCACAGTATGGGCTCCCGGAGGCGCTAGTGATGGAGTGATGTCCCTTTGAGGAGCTGTTTCATTGTTTTTCTGCAGCCATGCAACTTCTCTAGGGAAGTTGGTACTTAATTCTTCCAGAAAATTTGTTTTGGTGCTTAAGTTTCTCTAAAAATTTCCAGGTAGCATATGGGCATGATTTGTAAATGTCTACATTCGGGAAGCTAGTATCACTTATTTCTTACTATTTTATTGATGACAGTTCAGAATTCTGACAAAGACAAATGTACTACCATTTTTGACACCCTGGATTTTAAACATTTGCCATATGCTGATTACTTTAGCTTGTCCTTTCTATAAGCCAATTATCTGTAACTTTTGTATGAATAAAAGTGCATTAGTGGCCATAGATTTTTACCTCTTTACATTTCTAACAGAAGTTTCATGTAAGAATGGCCTATTGTTTTACCATTTCTATGTTTAATATTTGGATGTTACAATATTGAAGTAGTGTTAATGTTATATCCCAAGCTAGTATTTTGTTTATTTTTGTTTATAGTTGGTTACACAACTGATGACTTAAGATTTATCTGGCAGTCGGGGGATCCTGTCCAGTTAGAAAAAATTGCCTTGCCTCAATTTGATATTAAAAAGGAAGATATTGAATATGGTAACTGCACAAAATATTATAAAGGCACTGGTAAGTAATATCCTTTAAATTAAAGAAAACTAAGTCCTATTGCAAAGATTTATTTCAATACTATAATATGCTAAGGACAGAATAGAGAACACTAGTTAAAAAATAGGTTCGAATGGTTCATACTGATATATTTAAATCTTTCATAAAATTACATCTACTAAAGTGAAACATTTTTTTATTCAGTAGATAGTTTTGCTTTTCTTTATGTAATTACAAATAATAGAGTTTTCAATTTTTATTTTATTTTATATTTTATTCTCAAGGCAGTGATATTCTTAGATGTTGCCAAGAAATTCTGCCTTCTGAAGGGTCAGATATTATGGGTGTGAACCATGTAACCCATTTATTGTCATCTGTTGTCATAAGGGCAGTTTTTTGATGTTGGTTGACTGCATATTCTTGATTTTCAAAAACATTCATCTTTATGCTCTGCAGGAAATAATAAGCACATGAGGTAATTGGGCATTGGTAAATATTCACTACATAATATTCTTGGCCTAGGTTATGGAACAGCCAATTATGAAAGCTCAACAAATTAATCTCATTCATTAAATTACATCAAGCTTTGCAGAAGTGAAAATGCAGTACTCACTGACCAATACTTTCATAACATGATTAGTATTCAAACCTTTGTGTCTCCTATGGTAGTTATAGGTTATTGAGGACTTTAGATATTAAATATAGTGTTATTGCCCTTAGCAATGTAAATAAAAAGATGATTGAATTTTGATCATTATATTCATATTAATAATCAGTCTAACTTGCAAATTACTATACAGGTCTAAGTCTATATCAGGAAGTAAATCAAAGATATTTATGAATAGATGAAATTAAAGTTTAAGTTTTTGCAGCATTTATGCTGACCTTGCAAAAATAAAAATATATAGTGTGATTGTGGAAAATTTACAGAGATCAAATGTTTGAGCTAAAATTCTGCCATTGTGACATCATTAAGGAAGGAAGGACAAGATGATTTAAAACATTCCTATTTGACACTAGAATAGAAGCGTGAACAGTTGCATATGGCATCACTGTAATAAACATGACACAGGCCAGCTCAGAAATAAAGTTAAAGCATCCGCTATCACTGACCTTTAAATAAATTAACAGATTATATAACATTTATATATTAAGAGTCCCTTCTCTTATAGAGTTTATAGTATTTTAGGACAAGAAGCAAAATAAGCAAATACACTACTGAAAGAATTGCCAGTTTTTTTTTAATGGAAAAAAGAGCACTTTTAAAACTTTGGCCGGCAGTGCACTCAACGAAGAAATCATAGATTTCAATGATTGTCGGATATGGACATGATCTTTTTGCTCACTCTGAGCCAGCTCCTGTATTGAACACATAAAATAACTGAAACATACAGTGAACGACCTACTGAATGTCAAGGACAAATCAATGTCAGCTGTGAGCTGGGCACAGTGTTCCTTCTCCTCTCCTGCTCCTCACTCAAATTAAAGAGCCTGACTACAGTTTTTAGGGATTTTTACAAATGAAATGAAAAAATGAACTTGAAAGCCAAAAGAAGTGTTTTTGGGAGGATTGTTGTATAGAAACACATTTAGTAGATGGCTTTTTGAGTTCTTGCTGTAAGGCATTGTTTTAAGTGTCTTGTAGGAATTCTATAATTTAATCCTCACAGGCATGTTATGAGTTCATTGAGTGTTATTATATTTGTTTTTTTTTTTAATTTTTTTCTTTTCATTTATTTTTATTAGTTGGAGGCTAATTACTTCACAACATTTCAGTGGGTTTTGTCATACATTGACATGAATCAGCCATGGAGTTACATGTATTCCCCATCCCGATCCCCCCTCCCACCTCCCTCTCCATCCGATTCCTCTGGGTCTTCCCAGTGCACCAGGCCCGAGCACTTGTCTCATGCATCCAACCTGGGCTGGTGATCTGTTTCACTATAGATAATATACATGCTGTTCTTTCGAAACATCCCACCCTTGCCTTCTCCCACAGAGTCCACAAGTCTGTTCTGTACATCTGTGTCTCTTTTTCTGTTTTGCATATAGGGTTATCATTACCATCTTTCTAAATTCCATATATATGTGTTAGTATGCTGTAATGTTCTTTATCTTTCTGGCTTACTTCACTCTGTATAATGGGCTCCAGTTTCATCCATCTCATTAGAACTGATTCAATGAATTCTTTTTAACGGCTGAGTAATATTCCATGGTGTATATGTACCACAGCTTCCTTATCCATTCGTCTGCTGATGGGCATCTAGGTTGCTTCCATGTCCTGGCTATTATAAACAGTGCTGCGATGAACATTGGGGTGCACGTGTCTCTTTCAGATCTGGTTTCCTCAGTGTGCATGCCCAGGAGTGGGATTGCTGGGTCATATGGCAGTTCTATTTCCAGTTTTTTAAGAAATCTCCACACTGTTTTCCATAGTGGCTGTACCAGTTTGCATTCCCACCAACAGTGTAAGAGGGTTCCCTTTTCTCCATGCCCTCTCCAGCATTTATTGCTTGTAGACTTTTGGATAGCAGCCATCCTGACTGGCATGTAATGGTACCTCATTGTGGTTTTGATTTGCATTTCTCTGATAATGAGTGATGTTGAGCATCTTTTCATGTGTTTGTTAGCCATCTGTATGTCTTCTTTGGAGAAATGTCTGTTTAGTTCTTTGGCCCGTTTTTTGATTGGGTCATTTATTTTTCTGGAATTGAGCTGCAGGAGTTGCTTGTATATTTTTGAGATTAATCCTTTGTCTGTTGCTTCATTTGCTATTATTTTCTCCCAATCTGAGGGCTGTCTTTTCACCTTACTTATAGTTTCCTTTGTTGTGCAAAAGCTTTTAAGTTTCATTAGGTCCCATTTGTTTATTTTTGCTTTTATTTCCAATATTCTGGGAGGTGGGTCATAGAGGATCCTGCTGTGATTTATGTCAGAGAGTGTTTTGCCTATATTTGGAAAATAGTTACCCATATCCAGATTGTATGCTTCACATTTCAAAATGAATAATCTCTAAATTATTTTGAGAAGTTTGAAATATCTTTTATTGAAGTTTTAAACTTCGTCTAGAGATGAAAATGAATTAGTAATTTTATATCTAATCTTATGTAATATAAAATTATGTAAAAGCATTGAAAACTCTGGTGTTATTCATTTTTTTCACCTTCAAGCTCTGCATTTAAAAGTTTTCATTTGGGGATTCAGCAGTAAATAGAGGATAGATCCCTGCTCTTTCTTAGATCTATTGGCAAGCAAATAAATGAAATATAATTCCTTTTAGTTCTAAGAAGCAACTAGGGTGTGCTGTGATGGAGAGTATTTGGGGAAATACTCAAGATTTATGACTAGTAAATCTTTCCTAGACTTTTGTGTATGGTATTTTTTGGTTTATCATAAATGAGTCAATTATATCTCATTATTTACAGAAAATAACAAAAACTCATGGCTAAGAGAGTAATAATTGAAACTATATTTCAGTAAACATGCTTTATCAACATTTATATGAATCATTGTATGTATATAAGAAACATTTTAGTGTTTGGATAATACTTAGAAATGTATGTAGAAAAATAGAACATTCAAAATACATGGAATGCTTAACAGTGTAGAATAGTGGATAAGACAGAGAGCAGCATGTACAAAAGGATGGCCAATATTTTATTTAATTTGTACAAAATTATCCAAAAATCATGATTTGACTTTAACTTTATTAAAAATTATTGTTTTTGTAATTGTAGAAATTACACAAGTGGATAAAAATATGGGTATGCAAGTATAATTCCAACTCCAATTTCTATACTTACATTGGAAGCCCAAGTGAATAATAATCAGATAAAGCCTCATAAGAAATAGTAAATTGAATTCACCAATGAACCTTTATATAATTAGCTGCCCACCTGCCTCTCATAAATGTAACCGTACCACGAAAAGATAACAAAAAAAATCAAGAAATGTTTCTGATGAAAGCTTATGGAGCAAATCAGTGTTATATCCAAGTGTGTATTTTTCTGCCAAATGCATCCAAGTCCTGGGAAGTTCCCCAGGGGGTGCCTTCAGATGAAGGACTCAAGTTTCTAGGCTGTCATCTAAATGTGGGGGGATAGAATACAAAATACATTTGAAAGTAAGCAACTTTATAGAAAATTGTTATGATATTTGTGACAACCTAGGCTCCTCAAGATACATAATAAACATATATGTGTCCTTCTGTACTTGATAGGCACTAGGTGGATGTGAAATTACCTTGAGCAAGTGATGCTCTTACAAAGCAAGGTACTTCAGAACCACTCGTGGAAAACACTGTGGGCCTTCTTGATCACAACAAATAGACTTGTAAAAGATGACATTTTGGAAGTTTTGCACATGATTGTTAGTTGGAAGCTTATGTTCTTATTTGTCCAGGCAGGAAGTTGAAATAAGAGATGGGCATTGAAAAGGGAGAGGAAGTTTCCATCGGTTTGCCTTTCATGTCTTTTTAGAACCTGTGCACAATTTTCACAAATTGCTTAGTTTTAATGAAATTAAAGGGAATGGCAACCCACTCCAGTATGTTTGCCTGGATAATTGCGTGGACAGAGGAGCTTGGCAGGCTACAGTCCATGGGGTCACAAAGAGTCAGACACAACTGAGCAGCTAACAATTTCACTTTCAGTGAAATTAAAATTTAAAAAATACAAACACTGTTCACTGCTTTTTTTGATATAATATGGAAACATTTGGCATAATTAGAATTTACTTCAGTTCAAATCAGCTCTTTATATCTGTTATGTATTAGCCGTAATATCTTTCTAATCTCTCCAATGTATCGATCATTATAATTCACATTAGGAATAGGATAGATTTCTAATCTTGGAGAAGGAAATGGCAACCCACTCCAGTATTCTTGCCTGGAGAATCCCATGAATAGAGGAGCCTGGCAAGCTACACAGTCCATGGGGTTGCAAGAGTCGGACAAGACTTAGGGACTAAATCATCAAATCAATCAGATTTCTAATCTAAGTTATTTGATAAAAGGATAAGAATAGCCATTCTTTTATTCAAGTTTTTAAGATGTGGATTGTGTGCAATTACTACTCTAGGTACTGCTAACGAATAAAAATGACAACTATTGTAGCATCTGAAGTATACGTCTTCTTCCCAACTAGGAAAAAGAGATAAATACAACTTTTAGTAAAAAGTAATATTGCCTTTTGTCCCATAATTATTTTATTTATTCACTGTTCATTCATTTGTTTTGACATTTGAAAATAATTTTGTACGGTTTAAGCTGAGCACAGCTGAAAATATTTTAACTTTTTGAAATTCATACATAACCTTCCTTTTGTTGAATGGGAAATGACATTTTTATCTAAAGTAAGTATTAAAAGAAATCATCTCAGACATTTGGAAATGTCTCTTCTGTGCCAATGCTAGGAGAATATCTGTGTCACTTATTTTCTTTCTCTAGTCAGCAAAGGCTATTATGAGGCTGCCCATAATTTGTGATTAATTTGGGAGACTAGTTGATATCATGGCAGCTCTAGAATGATGTTGTAAAGCGGTGTCTGCTTTAGTCTATGTCTGTGAAAGTGAAATCCTTTCCCTCAATTAGGGAACATTCAAGGTCCTGGAGTGGAGCCAGGGGAGGCTTGGCAGAGATGTCAGATGTTTGCTGTCTGTAACCTTTTATATTCAAGGACTGGGGACATTCATTTCTTACCTTTGCTAATGTTTACCTCTAACACTGTCTTCAGGGTTAAGGTATAAATATGCATATGAGCTACTGTAGTTGTCCTCCCAGATAAGAAGTGGTTCACAGGGCTGAAAATGATGTTGACAATGCATAATCCAGGAGTGTTTGTAGACTTGCACTGCTTCAATTTGCTGTTCCCAGTGGCTCTCAGAGCACCCAAGGATAATAAAAAGTTTAAGTCATTGCAAAATCTCCGAACAAAGACTTAGAAGCTGAGACTGGGTATCACAGAGCAGCCTGGATGTCTGCTTCTCAGTCTCATAATGGAGATGAGAAGTTGGGTGAAACAGGTCCCATCATTCCATCCTCTTAAATCACATAAATGATGTCTATTTACAGAACAAAATACTCCATTTTTGGTGGAGTTCACTTTGTGAAATTGCCCCAAGCAGAAATGACTCCTGACTTCTGTGCACACTGTGATTTTGCAGTCGGATGTGTCAGGAACCTCACCCCTGTTTGCGTCTGTCTGGCAGGGTACTACACATGTGTGGAGGTCATCTTCACCCTGAGGAGGCAAGTGGGCTTCTACATGATGGGCGTCTACGCCCCAACCCTGCTCATCGTGGTTCTCTCCTGGCTTTCCTTCTGGATCAACCCCGATGCCAGTGCTGCCAGAGTGCCCCTCGGTAAAGTGTCTCTCTTGGGGGGTCAGGAGCGTGCTTGTGTCTTTACAGAAGTGACTACGTAATTTTGAATTCATACTAAATCATTCAGAAACAGTGAGTCTTGGAATTGTTTGTAGCCTTTTCCCCAGACTTCCTCCAATCCTTGACATTGAACTAGATTTTCTCTGTGTTTATGCATTCTATAATTAAACCAAGTTTTCTCTTTTTGTGTTCTTGGGGTATTTTAAGCAGTTAATCCATCCTAAATTGATGCTCATGAAATAATTATTAATAAGCGATTTTAATGGATAATGGAAGCCTACAATCTCCAGTGGTGCCAAGCTTAAAAACAAAGGACTATTTGGGTAGAAATCTTTCTAAATCATTTTATATACTATCTCATACTTTCATCAGGGAATGTGCAATAACATTTATCATTTTAAAAATGACTTGGCATCATTTTCCTGAACACTAATTATTGTGTGTGTACCATCAGGAGAGCTAGACAGAATAGGATCTGGCGATCCTATAGATATATATCAAACCTATTTGTTATTTTTAATGCTCTGTAACATAGAAACACCATTAGCCAGAATTGGAAATTATATCTGTATTAAGGCTTAAATAGTCTTTGGTTGGGAAAATAATTGAGAGCCTTCCTTCTGGGTAAAGTGAATAAACTTCAAAATAAGTGCATCGTAACAACATTTTGATTGCTTGGAGAGTTTGAAAATTTTTCATTCATGTGTATGTGTGTGTGTTTTCTGAACATCACATGGAACTTACATAGGTAAGTCTGTGAAATATCTGACCTCTCAGCAACCTGATTAGTTTCAGCGTTTTTTTTTTTTTTTTTCTATCATCAAGAATGCCTTGTGCAAGCCTCCCTCCTGACTTACTGGAGGAATTAAATGAAATACAGATATCAAAGAATAGGAAATCAGGAAAGAGCCAATGAAAATGACAGTTTTATCCAGATAAGAAATTTGGTGATTTTTCTCTAATAAAAACCACAGAGACCAGATCTATATCTTAATAAGCAAAAAAAAAAAAAAAAAGTGAGAAATTTCGTCCTAAGAATTGTATATCTCTAATGAAGACAATACAATTGATAGATTAATCCTGTAGGAAAGTAGAATTAACTTTGTAGGTATTGTACTGGGACTAAAACACCTCAAAACTTGATTTAAAGTCTTGTGCTTGTCAAAAATATCATGCTTTTCCCTTAAATCGCTGAATATTCTGTTTATTAGAATTATCTTACTCTCATGCAGTGGTATAAATTGAAATATCAGCCTTCCAAGGATGGTCTGGAGACATCCCAATCTCTGACTTGTTTTTGGAGGAAACTCTCTGTAAACCCTCATCACTTATAGGACTTCTGATTATAAAATTCTTAAGCTATCACTTAGCATCCAGCAGACCCACTATTTGGAAAGAAGTTAATGGTTAAATATCAATCTCTGGAATCAAACCAGGTCTGAATTCCAGCTCTGTGCCTACTAGTTGAAACAACTAGCCATCAGATCTAGCCTCTATGAACATACTCTTGGATGTCAACAGGGATGGAAAAGTACTGCAAGGACTTTTGGAAGTTTGGGGAAAAAAGTGAGTGTTAAGTCCATTCATGAATTCATAATGTGCCTCATTTACACATTACTTTACAGTTTACAAAGCACTTAGACACATTCTAGTTTATTCAACAGATACCATGGAGTACTGACTATTGGCTAGGTACTATGCAAAATGATGGGGATGTGGTTAAAGAGTAAGTGGTGAAAAAATAGTTTATAAAATAGACTTTAGAAAGCCCAACTCAGCCTTATTGAATTTATGCTCTCTTGGGAAGAAACAGACACCAAATAAGTACAACATATAATATGTAAGATGGAGACACCGGATGGAAAGTTGAGGGCAGCATCCTGCTTGTGGAGAACTGCCTCAATGAGAAAGTGATGTTGAGAAGAGCAGGAAGGAGGGGAGTGAATGGACCACTGTGGATTTCTAGGAAGAGAGTGTGATTGGTCAGCGATCAGGGCAGCATCCTTGAGGCAGAAGCCTGCCTAGGATGCTAAGCAGTCCAGTGAGAGAAGGGGGAATCAGTATATGAGGTCAGAAAATTAACAGTGGTGAGAGATGGGCTATGGAACACTTCTCAAGTAATTCTGGTGACTTTGGCTTTTATTCAGACTGAAATCTGAAGGCCCTGAGGGCTTTTGAGTATGATCTGATTGAAACTGTAACTGTTTCTCTTTACTGCTTTGTTTAGAATAGCCTGAAAGGCAGCAAAGGCGGCAAAAATAGAAGCAAGGAAAGCAGGTAGGAAGCCTGAAATAATCACTGGTGTGATCCAGGGAGTGTTAGTGGAGGTATTTATGAATATTAGATGATGAATGTGGCAAAGAGAAATTTGTAGATGTGTTGCATGTGGGATTTAAGAAAGTAGAATAAACTTAAGAGATGAAATTGCCATTAACAGAGGTGAGTAAAGCTTCAGGTAGAGTAGTTTTGAGAAAGTGGGGAGGTTCCGGATGCACTGAGTTTGAGATGTCTGATAGGTGGAGATAGCAGGTAGGCAGTAGGCTGTACAAGTCTAGGGTGTCTTGGAGAAAACAAAATTGGATATCTGAATTTGAGATTTCTCAGGATTTAGATGGTACTTAGAGCGGTGAGTGGAATGGAGGTAGCGGAGCCTCAGGGCTAAATCCTTGAAATTGAGAAGATGAGAAACAACCGTGTGATGTGGTTTCCTAGAATCCTGCCAAGTGGATAATTATGTGTTTTCAGGGAAGGAGAGTGACCAGTCAGTGCCTGTAGATCAAGGCCAGGGCTAAAGATTGCCCTTAGCTTTAGCAGCCTGGGGAGTCACTGGCGTGCAGGACAAAAGAGTGTCCGTGGAGTGAGGAGAAGGAGAAAGCCTGGTGGGAGTGACTTCAGGAGAGCACAGGAAGGGGAGAGATGCCCTCTGGAGATGGGCAGTGTGAACAACTCGTTGGACACTGTTAGGTGCCAAAAGTAAAATAGGATGGGTAAATAGTAGGGGTGGGAATGGGAGTCGAGAAGCGTTCTTGGCTTTGTTTTTTTTTAAGGCAGACTATCAGCACATGGTTATTTTTGGTGGAAAATAATCAGTAGGAAAGGAAAAATTAGCAATGGAAGAAGTTCAGCAGTAGTGAGGGAAGATGAGTGGTAGGGAGAGGCAAGACTGGCCTTTGCTAGATTAAAGTCAGTTTTTCCCTGGGGTCAGCAAACTCCTCTGTAACAGACTGGAGAGTAAACATGTTAGGTTTCTGTTGAGACCCCCAAATCTTCTGTCATAGTGCTAAAGCAGCCTTTGACAATACATAGATGAAGAAATGAGGATGTATCCCAATAAAACTTGATTCATAGAAATAGGTGGTGAGTTACATTTGCCCTGTGTGTTGAGATGACTGACCATGGTCTGTAGGGTCAGGAGAGAAGGCAGAGCAAGTGGGCACAGACAGAGAACGTGGACAAATGTGGTCGTGGGGCTTGTCATTGAGTTTGATCTCTTAATAAAATAGTAAAAAAGATCATGAGTCTCAGGTGTGGTAGGAGAGAGTGTTGTGGGTTTGAAGGGCTCTAGAGAGAAAGTAGTGAAAGAACAGAGGAAATACATACTGACTGCCTGGTGGGATCCTGGACCCCTTGAGGTCAATGATCATAAATTTAAAGTGGGATCAGTCAACATGTTAGCAGTGTATGTCATGGCTGGGCTTGCCTGTTGGCTCAGACGGTAAAGAATCCACCTGCATTGCAGGAGACCTGGGTTTGATCCCTGGGTCAGGAAGATCCCCTGGAGAAGGAAATGGCTACTTACTCCAGTATTCTTGCCTGGAAAATCCTATAGATAGAGGAGCTGGCGGGCTGCAGTCCATGGGGTCACAAAGAGTCAGACACGACTAAGCTACTAAGCGCACATGTCATGGCTACAGTCTGGTAATCATGTACTTAACTTCTCCACCTGGTGGGAGTTTCGGTATCTACATGACGGCTCACAAGATATGACTCAGAATATCATCTATAGCTTTTGTCCAAGGTAAGGAGCAGCGGCTGCGCTTTGCAGGAGCAGCTGTGAAGAGAGACCCCGCGTCCAAGGTAAGAGAAACCCAGGTAAGACAGTAGGCACTGAGAGAGGGGGTTGGGGGACAGACAGACTGAAACTATAGTCACAGACAACTAGCCAATCTGATCACGTGGACCACAGCCTTGTCTAACTCAATGAAACTAAGCCATGCCATAGGGGCCACCCAAGACAGACGGGTCATGGTGGAGAAGTCTGACAGATTGTGGTCCACTGGAGAAGGGAATGGTAAATGACTTCAGTATTCTGGCCTTAAGAACCCCATAAACAGTATGAAAAGACAAAAAGATAGGACACTGAAAGATGAACTTCCCAGGTCAGTAGGTGCCCAAAATGCTACTGGAGATCCGTGGAGAAATAACTCCAGAAAGAATGAAGGAATGGAGCCAAAGCAAAAACAACACCCAGTTGTAAATGGGACTAGGGATAGAAGCAAGATTTGATGTTGTAAAGAGCAATATTGCATAGGAACCTGGAATGTTAGGTCCATGAATCAAGGCAAATTGGAAGTGTTCAAACAGGAGATGACAAGAGTGAACATCAACATTCTATGAATTAGTGAACTAAGATGGACTGGAATGAATGAATTTAACTCAGATGACCAATATATCTACTACTGTGGGCAGGAATCCCTTAGAAGAAATGGAGTAGCCATCATAGTCAACAAAGAGTCCGAAATGCAGTACTTGGATGTAATCTCAAAAACGACAGCATGATCTCTGTTCATTTCCAAGGCAAACCACTCAATATCATGGGAACTCAAGTCTATGCCCTGACCAGTAATGCTGAAGAAGCTGAAGTTGAACAGTTCTATGAAGACCTACAAGACCTTCTAGAACTAACACCCAAGAAAGATGTCGTTTTCATTATAGGGGACTGGAATGCAAAAGTAGGAAGTCAAGAAACACCTGGAGTA